GCTGCAGACCCCCCCACAAGGGCTCTGCTGTTCCCATGCAGAGTGATTCCACATGTCCACCCTTTGCTGCTACACTGCTTAGTCTTGCCACCCTCTGCTAGCACCATCCCATCATGCTGTGTCCACGTGGCACCACCTGTCCCATGCCATTCCCAGCAAGGCCCTGGCTTAACCATCAAGGCTAGAGGCCTAAGTGACAGGCAAATGGTCAGAGACAGCACAGGAGTAGAAAGCACCAGTAGGCAGTGTTCCCTGTAAACCCTTTGCTGCTACACTGCTTAGTCTTGCCACCCTCTGCTAGCACCATCCCATCATGCTGTGTCCACGTGGCACCACCTGTCCCATGCCATTCCCAGCAAGGCCCTGGCTTAACCATCAAGGCTAGAGGCCTAAGTGACAGGCAAATGGTCAGAGACAGCACAGGAGTAGAAAGCACCAGTAGGCAGTGTTCCCTGTAAGCTGAATACCCAGGAGAGATTCGGGTGCTGCCAAGCTGATTAGCAGAGTGCCCAAAGCCAGGAGTCTGTGTTCTATCGGCGGTGCACTTGCCTTGGTGCACAGAACAAAATTTATTCCACACGTGGGTGGAAAAAAATGAGAGGGAACACTAGCAATAGGCCACTTTCAGTGGGCTATTCAAGACACCCAGGCAGCAGTGAAGCTAATGCAGTCTCCAGCTTCCTCACTGTTATAAGGGAAGAGGGTGATATGGCTCAAGGGTTGTATGTTAGAACCCAACCATCCTGACTCCTACTATCCCAAGCAGTGACCTAGAGCCTCCTTTTCCACTTGGTAGCTTGGGGACTGGCCTATTGGGAGATCAAATACATTACCTGGGGAAATCATCTTCTTACAGGCAAATTCCTATTGAGAGGGGAGTAAAGACCTCAAGGATTGGGTCCAGCATAGCTCTCTATTTCTTGGGAATCCTTGCCCTACACAAGGGATCACAAGATCTGGGCCACACACTCTCTCGCTCTCGCTCTCCAGGATGCGATGGTGCTACAGACTCAGCTCTCAGTTATCGCACCACGTCTTGTAAGTGGCATGTTGCAAAACCTTGTTTGCAAAAGGTTCCTGGAAAGAGGCAGCATTGCATTCACTGTCATTTCCATACCAGGTTGGAGAGGAAGGGGAAATGGAGCCGCGTCCCTAAGGGCCCGATCCAAAGCCCACTGAACTCCAGGGGGAAAGGGCCCTGCCCATCCCTCAAGCTCCTCCACTGTGCTCAGAGCTAGTTCTCCCCTCAGGTCTAGCTGAGCAGTGCAGGCTGGCAGGTGTGCTGGATGAATGCCCGACCTCTCTAAATGCACATGCCCCAGGCAGGACTTTTACAGTGACAGACGCACCATCCCCCACTCCTACCCTGGTTCTGTGCCAGGGCTGTTACTGCTGCCAGCCAGCTTTGCACACAAATGCAGCAGGCCTGGGATTCATGGTGGGCTGCCCAGGCAGCCTACAATGTTGCCAGGCCCCTAACTGCAGAGACACCATATGCCGTGGGACGGAGACACAGCAGGCCTGTAAGTCACTGTTGCCAGGGCTGTGACGCATGCACCAGATGCCTGGCACAGCACCAGGCCCACTGGAATGGAGTCAGGCCAGTAGCTTCAGCTATGCCCCTGCCAGGGGTGGTTGACCCTCCTAGATTTACTGGCTGCCTGCCATGAATCTAGGGCTGCACCTAGGTGGCTGCTACGTTCCATTCAGCTGCCCTGCCTGGTGCCTGGGCTCTGGCTGTGGGGTTCCATCAGCCAGGAATCGCTGCACAGCTTGTCTCCCCAGCAGCAGAGTGCCCACGGTCCATCAGCTAAGCTGCATCACAGGGAGGGGGAGTCACTGCTCGCCAGTCTGTGACCAAGCAAGCTGCACTTTGCTCCTGGGCTTTATGCATCCGCACCTCCAGCATGTCCGCCCCAGAGCTGTGGGCACAACATGCACCCAGAAGCAGCGTCCTACCAACTGCTGCATGCACACCCCTGACACACTGAAAGAATGGCCCAGCCGGCACCTGACACACCAGAGCACACGCATGGGACGAGGAGTGACTTTGCCACAGTTGCACTCAGCAGCTGGGTCAGGCTAGCACTGTGCTGAACCCACGTCTGGGGGTGTCAGACTCCCCCCAGCACCAGCTCTAACCACAAATAGTTCTCCACAGGCATCTCTTAAACCCCCCACATCTTCTCAAAGCAAGTTCCCCAGATGGGTGGCCAATGGCCATCAGTGTTCCCTGTAAACTGTGCGTTTGTGCTGCTGCTCAGGAGAGATTCAAATGCTGTCCAGCTGATTAGCAGACCTCGCACAGCTAGCATGGTGTTTCTCCAGGTGGTGCACATCACACATGCCTCAGTGCACATAAAATTTATTCCACACACGGATGGGAAAGGTTAGTGGGAACAGTGGTGGCTCTTCCTAGTGGTTAGAGCAGCTGGAGTCAGTGGCCAGAACTAAGGGTCACAGAAGGAGTCAGATCTCGGGATTGGAACCAGAGTCAGAGCCAGAGCTAGAGCCAAGCCATCTGGAGTGAGTGAGAGAGGGAGGTTGGGCAGAAGCAGGGACAAGACATTACTGTGGTCATGGTAAATGTTTTGAGCAGCCAGCATAATTTCTGCTACTAGCTTCTTCAGGTAGGGCAGTCTGAGGCGGACTAACGCCGCCCAGCTGTTCCCATAAGCCTATGAGAAGCCCGAGCAGGTGCAGCTGCTCGGCCTTATTCCTGACAGCCAGTCCGAAGCTGTGATAGCAAGTCCCCAGGAGCAGGCCCCCTCAGTTACTGGGAAGGTTGCTCATCATGCTGGAGTTGCTGGAGAGAGGCTCCCGAGGCCGGGCCCGGGCGTTGAGGGCCACGGAGCTGCGGAAGCTCTCTCGGATTCGCAGGGAGCTCTCGGTAGAGGATCCCGAGTTGATGTCGGCAATGATCAAACAGTCCCCAGGTCCCCGGATCCCGAGACGGATGCAGCAACAGCAGAGGAAGCAGACCACGGCCCGGCGCACCTCCGGGCTGCGGAAGGAGTAGATGATCGGGTTGATGGCTGAGTTGAGCACGGCCAGTGCCAGGGCCCAGTTCATGCCCTGCAGGTGCTTGCAGGCCGGGGACTCGCAGAAGACATCTAGGAGCAGCAAGGCAAAGAGCGGACTCCAGCAGATGATGAAGGCTCCCAGAATCATCAGGACAGTCTTGAGCAGCCGCAGGGATCTCTTGCGGCTGTGTCGGGTGATGGCCTGCTGGGAGCTGGCCCGTACCAGGTGGTAGATGGAGGCGTAGAGACCGATGATGCCCAGCAGGATCATACTGAACATGACCACACAGAAGAGGATGTATTTCTTCGAGTAGAGGGGCAGCAGTGTGGAGCAGCTGGGGAAGTCACACAGGCAGTTCCAGCCCAGCAGGGGCAGCATCCCAATGAGGATAGCCAGGGCCCAGCAGGAGACGATGAGGCTGCGCAGGCGTAAGGTCTTGCTGGCCTCGTTCTCGGCGATAGGCCTCACCATGGTGCTGTAGCGCTCCACTGCCGTCACCAGCAGGCTGAAGGTGGAGGCGGCCAGGGCGATGAAGAGTACGCCCTCCCGCAGGAACCACAGCTCGGGCGTCAGGTGGAAGGTCCTGCTGCCCGACAGGCAGAGGTTGCAGACATAGGCCACGCCGGCCAGCAGGTCGCTCACCGTGATGCTGGCGATGCAGGAGTAGACCCACCGCCGTGCCCGCAGGCTCCTCACAATGGCCAGCAGCACCAGGAGGTTCTCCACCACAATGAGGCAGCTGATGGTGATGAAGACCACCTTGAGAAGGCCCATCCCATCCTGCTGGGGCCGCCGGCTGCTTAGCTTCCCGGTATAGTTGTAGTGCTGTAGGATGAGGTTGGTGTTCCGCCCAGCAGCCAACTGCAGACAGGAATCCACACTGTACAACAGGCTAACACTGGCCTTCGGGCTCTCAGTCAGGAAGGGAGGGAGAGAGGGAGCGAACCAGTGGCTCAGCCCTGGAGCAAACATCCTTTGAGGAGCCAGCAAGCGCCGAGGAAGAGCAGAGCCTGGAGCTAGGGAAGGCCTGTAGACAGGACAGGAGGCAGCCCCAGGCACAGTGATCGGGACCAGCTTTCCTCCCGGCAGCCCGTGATTCTGCAAGAGAGCGGAGAGGAGCAAACGTGAGTGGTTTTGAAATGCTCACAGTTGTATGGGCATGATAGTGAAGGCTTCCTGTTGTTCAAGAGGTTTTCCTGTGTGAGTGAGAGCATCGCCACTGCCCAGTTCAGCTGAAATCATTTCTCAGCAGTGAGGGCTGGGTTCCCCTCACCCTGTTCATGGGGAAATGGGAACACTCAGCTGGAACAGGAGTGTAGCAATGGCCTGGCCTTTCTTCTCCCACAGCTGACTTGGTGGGGACTAGCACTAACCTGACTGGATGGTGTAAGCTCTAGGCTGAGTGAAAGCTCCTTAGCCATGGGGATGGGGGACAGGAGGAGAGAAAAGGGGGCAGCTGTCCCAGGGCCCAGTAATTTAAAAAGGTCTGGGGCTCCCAGCTGCGCCCCCACTCCCTCTCCAGCAGCTGGAGCTCTGGGCCCCTAAAACATCCCCACTGGAGCCCTCAGTAGCCCACACCTTGCAGCCCCAGTGGTGCTGACGGGATGGCTGGGCAGGCTTGTCCCCCTCCCACCCTTCCATCTGAGACCCTGCCGCTTTGGAGGGCCAGGAGCCGGCTCCCCCCAGGGCCCAATGAAGACTCTCTATGGTCCTGATGGGGGGACACTACCATTCCTGAGCCAACACAAAGACCTCTGCCTTGGATCCAAGCTTTCTGTGCCATTGCCTGGCCTTGCTGGCATGGCCCGCTCATTCCCTGATCATAGATCACGAGAACTGGCAGGGGCCTCGAGAGTCGGCGAGTCCAGCCCCCCGCCCTCACAGCAGGACCCAGCACCGTCTAGACCATCCCTGAGAGGCGTCTGTCCAGCCTGCTTTTCAATATCTCAGAGATGGGGATTCCACAACCTCCTAGGCAACTTATTCCAGTGTTTCACCCCCCTGACAGTTAGAAATCTCCTGTGCCCTTGACCACCAGTGCCCAGACCCTCTCCTGGCACCCTTCAGGTCCAGTCTCTGGCCTCAGCTACATTAGCTCACTTCTGGGGTGCTTGGCCCAACCTGCTTCTTTGCACATGGACAAGTGCATGCACACTGCCCTTCCCAGGCACGCTAGCCCTGGGCACCTGCTCCGGCTGGACCCAAAGTCTGTGGGAAAACCAAGCTACTAGTACTTCACTTTGGCATTGTCCCTTCCAGCTGAGGATCTCACGCATCTCAAAACGGTAACTCAAGTAACATCAGTCCCTTTGACAGACGGGGAAACTGAGGAACAGACGGGGCTGTGGCTCGCCCAAGGTCACACAAGGAGCTGTGCCAGGAATAAATCTCAGCAACCCTGGCCATGTGGCAATGCTGATGTTAATAACTGACCTGCTGTCCCTACCCAGGAAGGTCTGTATTGGGAGCAACCCTCCACCTCACACCACCCACTGTGCCCCTTACACTCTGGCTGGACTCACCTGAAGCTCTGTGGCCCGGTGCGTGAAGGTGGGAGGCTGTACCCTATGCTACTTCTCAGCATGAGGTCCTGGCAGAGGTAGCAGTTAGGGCTGCTTGTGCGGGGCGAGTGACACTTGTACCTAGCAGCACTTATCAAAAAAAGGGGAAGTTGCAACACGCTGAGAATTAACCACAGTTTAGCAGGATGGACCCACCCAACGCAGCTGAGAGGTGGGTGGAGAAAGCTCAAAACAATTGAGGGCACCTTCAAGTTCACGGCAGAAGCAGCCTCTCTGCTAGCAGGCTTGATGCTAGTGATTCTGGAGCTCTTCATGACATGCGGGGCTCGCAGAGTTAGCTGGTCCCCCCACAAAGAACAACAGAGTCCCTGCTTGGCCAGCAAGGGCCACTCACTGCAAGGAATGGAGCAAGGAGAAGAGGCTGTTGGCAGAGATTCACCCCCAGCAGAAGACATCACGGTGTGCAAGGGGAACATGCAGTTCTCCCTGCTGCAGGGTCAAAGTTCCATGTCCAGGGCCCTGCCCGGTTCTCTGCACCCCCTTCCTGCTGCTCATGGGCACCCACATGGCCCTTCTGCCAACCCACAGCCCTCCCACTCCACACAATGCACCAACCCTGCTCCCCCGATCTGTAGTGACTCCCTATGGGAGTCAGGAGGGGGTCAAGCATGGGGCAGGGCAGCTAGTGAAATCACCTTACTTGGATTTGGAGGGGGACATGGAGAGGGGCAGCTGGGGCCTGTGCATGGGCTGGGAGAGGTGGAGGCTCTCTGAATGGGCTGAAAGCCATCAGCATCCCAGCCCAGCAAGGGCCTCTCCTCCCATCAGGGGAGTGCCCTGCTGTGAGCATCACTCTCTCTTAAGCAGTCGAGGCGTCCCATATGGGAAGCTGTACCAGAGCAGTGCAGAATCAAGCTCATCATAAGTAGTAAGTGGCCTGGGGCGGGGGGTCCCTGACCTACAGAACTAGGGCCCGGAGGCCCCGACAGTAAAGGGGATATCAAGAGTCAGGCATCCTGGCAGAGCAGTCCCATTGCAGAGAAGCGCAGCACCCCGGCAGGAGGCAAGAGAATGGTGCTGGCAATTACTCTGCCAACCCTGCTAGGGCTGAGGGGCAGGCCACATGCTGAAAGGCCCTGGCAGGTGCCTCCAGCCTCCCTTAAGGCAAACAGAGGCACCTCTCGCTGTGTGCTAAGGGAGCTCTTCCCAGAAGGACTCCTTTCCTGCCAAGCCATGAACTTGCCAGCAGTTCCCAGGAACCCATCCACTCTGAAAACAATGGCAACGTTGTTCCCATACACAGCACACCACAGGGGACAGGACCTCCGGCTGCCAAGGGTGCGTGGAAGGGGCTGTCCCATCAGGGATCTTTCACTTCTTCTGGGGCTTTCTGCAAGCCCACAGGTTGAATTCAGCTGCGTCTTTCTCATGCTGCTTGCTCTATATGGATTGATTTGCATTTCAATATTCTCAATCGCTGCCTCAGCTGTGTGGCCTGGACCCCTGCACTCCAGAGAAGGGAAACCCCCCTTGCACCCCAGCCAAACAAAGACTCCTGGGGACCCACTTAGCTGCTTCTGCTTCACACAAGCCACCCTGGTCTTGAGCAGCATGTCAGCCACGGCATGATAACTTGGCACTAGGAGGCGCCATTTCCACCTGCTTCTTCCAGCATGGAGAGGCTTAAGAAACAACTGAGAATAAATCCTCACAAGGGAAACAGTGTCATCAAAATGTACAGATTTAAAATTTGTGGGTGAGAAGGGCGGTAGTAAAGATGCTCATGAGAAGTCCTGGATTGGATCTGTCTACAACCCACAGACATGTTATGTATCTGTCTCTTAGTGATCAACATTACATTCCGGTCTGTCAGTCTGTCAATGACCTGGCAGAAAACATGCAATCATTACTGATAACGCTTAGAGGTGATGCAAAGATCAGGGGAGTGGGAAATAATGAAGAAAGGTCACAGATGCAGACAATCAGAATCCCGCAGTAAGCAGGAGTGTGGGTAAATAAAGTGTGTTTGATATGACCAAGTAAGATCACACTTAGGAACAAATAATATTGCCCACACACTGTCCTGGAAAACAGAGACTTGAAAAGATTTGGGAGTCACAGTGGCATCTTGGCAAAACGTGAGCTCCCACTGTGATGCAGAGGCTAAATGGGCTAATGTGCCCCTTGGATGCCTAGACAAGGGAATATCATGTTTAGTCCCCTTATTAAAGGGGCCTCTGACTTTTTCTGGGAGGATCCTTTGTGCTGCAAGCTACTCCTAGAGACTACAACTCCCATAAGGAGGAGGGCATGGAGAGATAGGGTTAGGTTAGGCTCCATTTTGGAGAGAGGAGCCAGGCTGCTGGTGTGGAGCCTTTTCCAGGCCAGGAGCTGTTGTATTGCAGCTAGAGCCTGTTACTGAGACCCTGCCAGGGCTCGGATCTAGCAGGCTGCTTTGGCGGCTGCTGTTGATTGTCCCTGAAGGGGAGAGATCTTGGCTGTGCCTGTGGCTGGGAAGAGCCTACATAAACCTGCACAGGAGGTAACTTTGAGTAACTGGGCTCATGGGAAAGTGCTGCCTGGGACAGACCTCAGAGAATAAACTGATTCTGGACCCAAAGGGAGTCAGAGTGACCAGCCCAGTGAACCTGAGCTGCTGGCATTTGGTGGAGCCTGCTCCAGTGTCAGAGGGATTTTGCAGCTGGCTGCCCAGCTTAGACTAACAATTCGCACAGCGCTGTGTTCACTCCAGCTGCAGACCTGCAAGCGCGCCCACGCAAGCAAGCGTCTGGGACTCTGACTCCAGAGGAGAGCACACTCTGGGGTGGGATAAATGACGACAGTGCAAATGCCAGTTAGATACGTTTCCTTTCTTTCTGTGTACTTTTCGATTGTTTCCTGGGGGGGCAAACAGTGTGCACATTCCCCCTTCCATTGCTAAAGGGGGATTACCTAATTCTTTGGGGTTTGATCCCATCTGGGGAGCGCTATCTCAGGAGGCTGGATAATCAATTAGATATCTTATTTATAATTGCTGTCTTGGACTTAGTTCCAGGTTATTACTGGAATAATTTAATTTCTCCAGGCTCCCAAGGCACACCATATGTGTGCCAGCCAGGTGGAGGCACTGCCATTGTATATTCTTTAGGAGCAAGGGACTAAGTAGGGAATCCCCTATTAAACAACATCACCACTGGGGTACTCAGGATCTCCTTTTATGTTAAAACATCAGGCACACATGTGAGTGTGATCTGCTCCTGAGTAACCCAGGGAGGAAAAAGGGGGGTTACATATGTATTCATAGTGAGGTGTTTCCTTTTGTAGTTGGCACTGGTGCGATCATTGCTGGAAAACTATGTCTGACTTCAGTGTCCAGAATTCAAGACAAATGTGGATCCGTTGAAAAGGGTTCAGTGAAGATCCAGGAGAATGGTTAAAAAAAAACTGTAAAACATGCCTTGTACTGGGAGATCAGTCCCTTTAGGGATCAAACAGAAGATTATGGGATGAGTCTATAAGCAACTACACATGGATTAAAATGTCATCACAGTGTGCTCTTCAGGTGCACCTAACAAGATCTATGGGCAAGAAACAGAAGTTAGAACAATTCAGACTAACAATGAGGTACCACTTTTTACTCGTGCGAGTAATTAACCTTTGGAAGAATTTACATGGGCTGTGGTGGATTCACCATCAACAGACACTTTAAAATCAAAGCTGAATGTTTTTCTAAAAGATCTGTCTTTAGTTCCACCACACACAGGGCTGTTGTACTTAAAACACTAGTTAGTTCAGGGAAATCCTCTGGCCTCGGTGGCTCTGGGGTCAGAATAGATGCAGAAGTCACTTCTGAGCTGAAAAAAAAGCTGACCATCAGCATACATAGTCCACCCTCTGGCTGGGCCTGTAGAAAGTCGCTTGTCATTGACATCTACCTATCCTGGAGAATGGGGGTTCCCCATATCAGTGGGTTTCAGTCCTGGCCTCCAAGGATGAAAGGTGGCTTCTGAACATGCAAACTTTATCCCCATGTGAGATGGCTGACAAAGTCGTTCAAAAGCTTCAGAGGAGGAGCCGAGTTGGTCTGTACCAGAAAAAACTTAAAAAGCAACAAATAGTCTGGTAGCGCTTTAAAGACTAACAAAACATGTAGATGGGATCATGAGCTTTCGTGGGTGCAACCCACTTCTTCTTTCGACTCTTCAGATGAGATCTTCAAACCCGTTCCAGTTATGTCTGAATGAGGTCTGTGGAAAGCTGGGTGGCCTGGCAGTTAAGACAAAGGGCTAGGAGTCAAAAGATCAGCATTCTAGGCCCAGGTTTGATCTGCTGGGTATGTTACTTCCACCACTTTGTGCCTCAGTTTCCCTTCCCACCCTTTGTCTGCTTTCACTGTAAGATCCTTCAGGCAGGGACAGCCTCTTGCTGTGTGTATATAGTTCACCAAGTACAATAGGGCCACGGCCTTAAGGTAATACAAATAAAAATGGTAACTCAAATCCCTTGGCTCCTGGACAACCAGAAGGCCTTTTGGGTCTGTTTTTGAAAATCAGTCTGAGCCTGGCCTCTCTTTTTCCTGGTGCCATTTTGTGGTTGACCAACCATGACTTGATTTTCACTTCAACGTTTCTCTGCACCCAGAGCCAGAGTTTGCTGTCAGTCGCACCAAAGTAAGCCAGATTTACCCATGCATCACCAGTAGGGATGTAATAGTATAGGCAATTAACTGATAAGCAAAAGCTTATAGGTTAATGCTATAGACGACACACACTCCTCCCCCTGCCAGTAAATTTTTTAGCAGGCTGCCCAGCAGCCCGGCTCAGTCCTGGCTTGCACCAGGTCCAGGACATACCCCTGCTGTGGCTCTGCATTTAAAGCGCATTAGGAGCCAGGTGGGCAGGCAGCCTGGCTCAGTTCCAGCTTGTACTGGGTCCAGGTGCTTAGACAACCCCCCTCCCTGACAGGAGCTGCTGACACTCTGCGCTGCTGCCTCTGTATCCGAGGCC